TCTGCCGAACTTCTGTAGCACAACAATTAAACACATGTCCTTGCAGTTCAATTCAGGGCCCTCCGCAAATCATCATTCTATCCTTAATCAATATGTGGAATATTTTCTTTTCGACTGACATTCTGCTCGCTCTCTCTCTCTCCTTCTTTCTCTCTCTCTCTCTCTCACACACACTGAGGTGGGAGCTGTCTGCTATTTATAGGCCCTTTCATTCCAGTCTTGTTTCTCAGATTTACATAACAAAAATAATGTGGCTGTTCAGGTTTTATCAAATGAGATCAGCTACCCCTGCATACCTTGCTCTATTTTAAGGCTCCCCCACTTGAGTTTGAGAGAAAGAATAATCAAAAGCCAAATGAAAAGAAAAACACAATCATAAATATGCAGAACATGAACATGTCTTCCAGGAACGCTAGGCACAGTCCCCTTAGGTCCAGGACCTTCTGTACCCATTACTCTGTTTGAGTAAGAGCCACCTGTTAAAAATATCGAAAGGTTTTTCAAGCTTTGATGCCTGTTCTTTTCTGCTGTCTTGGTCACTATTTCCTTGTTTCTTTTGTGTTCCTTTGCAAGTGAGGAATGGAAGATATTTGTGCTCGAGAGCCGGACAGCTGACAAGAGACTCCAATTAGTAGGATCTGCTCTTCTTACCTCATTAATCCAGCAGCCGCCAGAGGACCTTCATGGACAGCATTCCCAGTAGACAATCTCCATTTCATTCAGGCTGGACCAGCTACTCATGAAGAAGCTTCCAGATAATGTGCCGAGCCCTATTATGAACACAGCTGCAGTCAATGTCCATGCAGGCTTTGACTTGTGAGTGGCGCGTCAGTAGGACGAGAGTGTGAAGACTGTTGACCTTCAGTAGATTAATTTCAACTTCATTCTCTTTACACAAAGTGCAAGTACTCAGACAACGAAATGCAGAGCTTCGGATTTAACTTCAGTTGCCACAGTACTAGGCAAATTTATGGGATGTTTTCAGGTATTAATGGATAAGTGTATGGATTGCAGTATTACATACCGAAGTTCTGCTGCATCAGAAAGTTAATTCACCTAGACATATCTAGAGAATCAGTAAACCCATCAGCGGAATCATAACATGAATGTCAAAATGATGATTAGTCTATGTACATAACTGTAACACAAAGCAAGTATGAAAACCTGCAGTGGACAAGGAGTCTGGCCCTTTTAGAGAGCTGTTTTGTCAGTGAGCTGTATTATGCATATTTGCAATAAAAGGAAGACTTTACCTTTGATGAGAACATTAAGAAGTTTGTCATATCACTGCATCTGGCACCAGCCAGCTGTTGTGTGAAGCTTGGGGGTACAATGTTGAGGGCTGCAGGTGCCAAGATTCAATAAGACAAAATTGAGGCCTGTCTCTCATCACAGAGTGTCTGTGAGAAGCCAACAGACGATTGATCCAACTGGTAGATAAAAAGGACTTGGATGGTCTACAGTAGATATCAGTCTACCTTTCGCCGTTGGCTCTGGCCACCAGATATTGACACTCTGCGGAGATGTTCTACCACACAGGTCCCTACCCTCCTTCAGTACAATTGTAGCAGTGGGAGATCGGAACAGACAGACCATAATGGACCCGAACCTATGACCCCGCCCATCCTCAGGTCACATGGGAGAGTGCCCTCCCTGCTGCTTTGGTATGGACATTGTACTGGCCCTGAATGCGACATGACGTGGTGCTTTATTCAATCAGACATCGTCAACACACCAGTAGACTCAGTCTTGCTTGCGTCTTTGAAATGCACGCCCTCCGGCTTCCTAATTGCTTATCATAAACAATCCAGAGGATCCATCGTAGTGATATGATGTGATTGCACTGCTCTTGCTGACCTATAAACAGGTTACTCCTCGTCACAAGACAGAAGAACTGAAGCGCAGAGAGAATCCATGCTATATGCAACTTCTTGAGTAACTTCTGAAACCGTGTGGCTGAACGCGCAGGTGCTTCCGTAACTTACAAGCCACCTGCGATCTGCCTGGGTCTTTTGGACATTAAACCCCTCTCTCAGTCTCAGAGCAGGCCCATTATTATGCAAACAATCAATGCATGTCATGCAAATGCTTTCCAGTCAAACCTCTTTGAAAATCACTTAAGGACCAATCTGATTCTTCTGGCTTTGCAAAAAAAAAAAACAAAAAAAAAAAACACAGAGTTCTGAGCTAGTCTTTCATTGTACGAAAAACTAGCTCAGCAACATCCCTCAGAACCAATACCCTGCACTTGTCTCTGCCACGGTGAGCTGCCACAAACACACAGCTCTAATTATAGTCTGCTGTGGCAGGAAGGCGCTGTGGTCCGGCCGTTACCGTAGATTACAGCAGCTCAAAGCTGCTTCCATAAGAAGCTTCTTGCATTGAGCACATTAATTACCTGCGGCTGTATGGTACTGCGCAGCCCCTGTGATGCTCATAAAAAATAAAATCAGGCACCTTATATAACGTGCTGACAATTAAACCATAAAGAAAGGAAAAACGTATGAATTGAAAAATGTTGAACATACATTTTAAAAGGGCAATCGGCTCATTTTAAAGCCTCGGTGATGCTGTGCATCAGCAGTGCTGTAGTCGCATTAAAGGGCATAAGTGTCCGAAAGCTGAGGGGACAGTCATGCTCTGCAGCAGTGACCATGAGCAGCGGCCTGCCCTTCACTGTGGGACTGTGTCATTGTGGTCATTGTTGTGTCAGTGTACAATGTCACAAATCATGGGGCTCTTTAGATGGCCAACTAACCATTTATACAATCATAGGGAGACACGTTTATGTAACAGATGTCAGAGTTTATGTAATGTAATTGAATGGAATATGTCCTCTTGGAAGAATAAAGTATTTCAAAAGTCTATCTATCTATCTATCTATCTATCTATCTATCTATCTATCTATCTATCTATCTATCTATCTATCTATCTGTCTGTCTGTCTGTCTGTCTGTCTGTCTGTCTAATACTGTATGCCATCTATATAGAAGCAAGCAGGTATAACAGGAGTTCTTAAGAACAAAATAGAGCAGAGAAACTTCCTGGTTCTTGAAAGTGAAATTCAGCGTCTTTCCCCATAACTGCTGCACCATCTCCTGAATTGAGGCAGGCTCTTTGTGCTCCTGGTCCCTCGCGCTCGGGCCCTTTGCCATGTAGCAGGCAGACAGAGGGTGTACCGCTCCAGCCTGGCAGAAGAGATTGTCCTCACTGCATCAGCAACACCAATAATTCACTGTGCTACGCATCACCCTGAAAGGATGGGCCCACTAAAGTCCACTAGAGGATGGTCTTTTGAGACAAATGTATTGGACATCCTTCCCCTTAAGTGTCTCTCCATGCCAGATTATTACTCATTGCTTATTTAATTTTGTTTGATTTTTGAAGTAAATAGCTGAACAGTTTCCTGGTATTGCTGCATGTGAACAACTTCAGCATTATGATAACTTCCATTAAAAAGAAGTATTTCAATGAAATAAAACACAACGTGGCAAATATAAAACACAATTTAAATATATAAAATAACTTCAGTCCCCTGTGTACTTATGAAAATGTCTATTTAAAATTAGATAAAAAAAACAACTAGTCAATATAAGTGTGTTAGTGTACAGCTGTGTGTTCAGTGGAGGGAGGTGCGTGGTACGTTTGCATTCTGGATCAGATGGGGAGCAGGAGGCTCCCAGTTTGTACCGTCACTTGGTCCTTGAAAGGAAACAGGGACTGTAAACAATATTTTTGCATTTCTGTCTTTCGATCCATCAGCTGAGGGCTCTTGTACTGGAGGATCATCCCAGGCTGTAAACAAGGGCTCAGAGAAGGACAGCCTGCTCTTAGGATCCACACTCACTGCTGCATTTTGACTGAGCTTGTGCGGTACCTGAATGTGTGTGGTACCTGAGTGTCCGCGGTACCTGAGCGTGTGCGGTACCTGAATGTGTGTGGTACCTGAATGTGTGCGGTACCTGAGTGTCCGCGGTACCTGAGCGTGTGCAGTACCTGAATGTGCGCGGTACCTGAATGTGTGTGGTACCTGAATGTGTGCGTTACCTGAATGTGTGCGGTACCTGAATGTGCGCAGTACCTGAGCGTGTGCGGTACCTGAATGTGCGCGGTACCTGAGCGTGTGCGGTACCTGAATGTGCGCGGTACCTGGGCGTGTGCGGTACCTGAATGTGCGTGGTACCTGAGCGTGTGCGGTACCTGAATGTGCGCGGTACCTGGGCATGTGCGGTACCTGAACGTGCAGCCTATGGGAGCATGTATCTCTCATAGATGTCACTCTTCTTTACATTTTCGTTTTACTGATTTGTAAAATGTCACATATTAACTGAAGTGTGGCCACTGAACGTAGACTGAAACACGCTGAGGCCCCCAGACCACAGAAGCTCTCCAAACCCTGTAATCCCACGTGAAGACACCCCCTGATACAGCGCCATTACCCCTTGGCCCACAGTAGGACCATGGATATTCTGGCAGATTCAGGGGCCTGGCATTTTACAGGGGTCTTTGGAAATGTAATACTGGGCAAAATGACATTTTGTCAGAGGGCCCAGAATTGAAGCTACGGCCCCGACTCAGATGAGTGAATATTGGAGGACTTATTTGTGGAAGAATAGGGTGATAGTTCTGAAGAACGTAACATGTGACACCAATGGCGATCTGGTCGCAAAAAAGATGTTCGGCATCCTATTAGTTGACAATATGTTGTCATCAGGGATGTAGAAACTGGGTACTCTCAAATATTTAATTTGGCTTCCACCCCCCCCCCCCCCATAAATAGACCTTTTCCTTTATATTAAGTTGTGCCCACTCCGTATCAAACTCTCTCCTAGCCATTGGTTGTCCTTCATATTTACTCCTAGTGCGTTAGTTTATGTAAAAGTGTGCAAGTGAAGTATAAAAAGCCCATGACTGTTGCGCATAATCTACCGCCGCCTGCTCTATGGGAATAAGCGGGTCAGGTGTGTAACCATGGAGATGAGTTAGCAAGGGGAGGCTGTGCTTAGCGTCTCCCTGCCTCCCTCCCCGCTTCGGAGCAGCCAGTGCCGCCTATCGCGCTCGCGTACTGGCGCTCTCAGAGGTGGATCCGGAGCACTACGGCCAAGTCGCGAAGGAGCCAAGCTGAATAAAGCTTCATTAAAAAAGGAAAATAAAAACATGACATTTTCAGTGATCGGGCAGAAGCACACGACCGTCTGACCAATTCTGACAGATTCTGCACTTTAGCCGCTACTTTCTGTTACCGGTGAGTGATTTGGTTTGCATTGTGTAATGAGATGAATTTTACCTCATAATGATAATTTTGGCTTAGTTGGAAGAATAACGGCAATTAACTCACTATTATGCCATTAAGAGTAATTTTGCATAATCATGAATATTTTAACCGTAATTTTAATGTTACACGTGTGTTTATTTTGAGCTATACCTATGTAATATAAATACCCACGCGTAAAACTGCTTCAAAATATGAAGTATTTGAGCAAGATGAATACCAGAGAAAATTTTTAACTATGCCATAAATAGATCTGAAACAAAGGATTAGAGTCGTGTGATTTGCGCCTATTTCTGACCAGCAATGTGTTTCTTGGCCGCCCTTATACTCCGACTATTAAACATGCATCGCAGACGTATGATCTGCTTATTAGCAAGACATCCATGTGCACGCATTTGCGGAGGGTGCAGTGAGTCGGTGCGGCTCTCTGGGCTCCCGGAACGCGCTGGCGTTGTATGCGGAGTTGCGGGCTGCGCTCCGGTGCCCGCTCCCACCGGTTCGGCGATCGCCCCGTCAGCCTTCACCTAAACGCCCCACGGCGCCTTTGCACTCTCCCGGACCGCTCGGCAACCAGCATCCCGCTAACCTGTTGTTTTGCGCTTCTATAACTTTCACTAACTGAAAAAAACGGTAACTGGTAATAAAAAAGGTGTGCAGTTTGAAAAATGTACGGATTCATGGTGTGGAGTGCAATGGATTATGATCTATATATATAATATATATTTGAAAAAACTGAATGCACTGATATGCTGATTTATGAATACCGAGAGTTATAATGAAGAACAACGCGTTGCTGCAGGATGCTCTGCGGATTTGTCGAGTTTATAGTGCTGGGTGACTTATGTCCATTAATTTTTATAAGACGGCACATTATGTATAGGCTGTTTTAATGAGCCCAGAATGACAGTGACCGCTGCTAACGGAGTGTAAAAAGCCTTAAGGAGCCGAAGGAGCGATTACCGCAGTAGGAGCTCCCGGGGTCAGCTGACTTGACATGATATCAGGACTGGGAGATGAAGTGGAGGATGATTAGGATTAAAGGGCAGCTGTGGTCTCAGGAAGCATCGGACCCCCTGAGCTGCTGCCTAGATCAACAGAGGAAATAGGGAAATGGGTATTTAATCAGCCACGGTTGGGCGGTCTTGTTCTCCAGGGGAGCCGCCGGTCAGGTTGGTGCGGTGCAGTTCAGATTGATTGTTTTATTGAAGTCATAATTTGCATAGCAAGTCACATTGCTTGGTGCCAGATATGAGAGACTTGCTAATTAAAATGCGCTGTAGGAACGGAAACGTTTCGGTTCTTCTCGACTAAGCAGGTCAATGAAACGATTAAAAATGCATGTTCGGCATATATCTAGTCAAAGTTTGACTCACATGTTGTGACAGACCTAACAGTGTGAAACATGTTCTAAATGCGATTAATTAAATTCTTTTTATTTTCTGCAGTGTTTCGTTGAATGTCTCTACAGCCAAATTAGCATCCTATAATCCTATAATAGCTGACAGAGCGCAGCTCATGACTAAAACGGACACATCAGTTTGTGAGAATTTATCAGAATAGAGCATATGTCCCCTCCCTCGTTCATTTACAGTCACTTGTCAGGACTCATCTGTGGCGGTGGGCAGATGGACGTGGTCACGCTTCTGCACATTTCCCTCCTCGCCGCTGCCCCTGTGATATTAATACTCTTTCTGTATTCCGTACGCCACTCCAGCAGGGGCCGGAGACAGGCAGCAAACGAAGAAAACTCACGGGCTGTTTCACCAATCCCAGAATGCACCTCTAAAATGCGGGTTTCGGAGAAGTTGAATTTGACAAGGGACCAGTCTGCGGGCACATACACTAAAGAACGTGCAGACGTGAGTGTAGGCTGAGGATGTGTTCGGCTTGGGTCCCCGGGGTGGCCCTGTCAGCTTCTGCTCGAATGGAGCCAGTCAGGTTTAGTCAAAATACTCTACATTCTCAATGAGGGCTAGTGCACTTGTGTTACCATTGACCGTGAGTGGTCTACTTGCTGAAGCAACTGCATCTACAAGGAAATTATTTCTGCAGTTAAAAATTAACAATAATAAAAATGGCTGTGATATTTCTCTGGAATGCCCTGTATCTACTTATTCCATTTCAAGGTGAGGTTGTTGAAGTGTTTTAAAATATCTTTCTATTTTTGTGATGTTTCCTGATATAAGGTCTGTCTTCCAGGATGACAATGCGTAAGTCTGTTAGGAACATGGATTATTTTTTTTCTTTTTACCAGATGGTTCATGTAACAGATGGAGAAAACCGAAATTGCCCGTTTTCTATAACCGTTCCAATTGCACAGACCTTGGTCCCGTAGAGCATGTGACTGAGCGGCCGGATATGCACATGCCTTAGCAGGTTTCCAGTAAACGTGAACCGGTGTGAACTGGAAGACCTCCTGTCAGAGAGAGTGGTGTGGTAGTCATGCAGAAGAGATCCAGACGCCCATTACCTACATTCGCCCTCAGATCAACGCCGGTCCATCCACACTGTTGATACTTTCGCCATTCTGTTGATGCTGTTGGTCTTTTGTCGATCAGCCGTAGTTATTGAAAACCCACTTCCTCTGTGACCTAAGAAGTTAATAGTCTTGGAAGACACATCTCATTATATTTTACACCAAAAACCAACCATGACAGAAGGTGCTTAGATAGAACTCATTGACTCTCTATGGAAAGAGCATCTTTCACTGCTAATTTCCTAGATAAAAGATCTCAAATGTCTTCATTAAAACTCCCAGATAACAGCGAACAGTGTCTGTAGTGAAATACTATACTCCCTGAAAGCTGGCCTTCGTCCCTCCTCCTGCTGGTGATGCAGGTGTCATAGCCAAACCTCACATACTGCGCTGTGACAACAACACATGCGCTCACACGCTCACACATGCGACATGTGCGCACTCTGCCATGAGAGAGAGACGGAGTTCGATCCCGCGCCTCCTGTGATCTCACCAGGTGATGTGAAAACTGAGATCTGGGGGCTGGAGACGAGAGACCTCTCAGGTCCTGGGAACTGGAATGGAACTGGGAAAGAGAAGCAGGAGAAGGCAAGAGCGGCCGGAAGCTGCACATGCGAGAGCTGTGTCCAGTCACACTGAACGTCACCCTGCGCAGATCTCCTGCTTAGAGACACTTTTACAAAGCAAGAATTCGTTTGATAATATGTCGGTCTCGTTTAGGCATGCGGACACCTTTTTGTGAGAGGCATGGTAAAATCTTGCCATGCTGTCTCACATGACAGTCAGCAATAGTTAATCCAGGTTGTTTTATTTATGTGTTGGATTAATTATATTTGTAGAGCAGTATAAAATATTAGCAGCCATACTAAGTTGTGAATCCATAGGTATACAGAGGCCCCCGAAAACCCAAAAGACAAATTCACCCCATGTCTCTTCCCTGCTTTTTGGATTTAGACTTTGACTGACGTGTTTCTGGACGTTTATCGCAGTGCTTCCGGTGACATGCTTCTCTGTTGTTTAAACAGCGAATCTTCAGGAGGGAATCGGCCCCACGTGTCGATCCCAAGCCCAGGTCCTTAATCATTAAACCACCTGTAGCCTGAGACCAGCCAGTGTCCAAATCATAAGTTGCCAAGTGAAATAGCCAAGCTGTGACATTAAAAAAACGCACCAGTCAGGATGCTATATTTTTCAGTGACGCACTATTTTTGGAGAGCACACAGGACCAAAAAAAGTAAATATTACAAGATAAAAGATGGTTGGCGTCTGAGACACTTTTCAATTTTTAATAGTCACACTTGGCTTGGCTTTGAAGCAGATGAAAGCCGGGCGCTTTAACTTGCGTGGCCGGCGCTGGCTTCGTGCTCTGCGTTTTTTCACGAGGACAGTTCGGGTAAAGTCTCGACAGGCGAGCATTCTGCAAATAAAACCTCTCTTTCATTTCAGAGGTCACCACAAATGCCTAAACATGTCTTGGAACCAAAATAAATGAAGCAAGCAATGTAAAGGGAACAGATGAATAATTAATCCCTCGACTTTTTCGATTTATGTCACTTGGCTTGGAGCTCATGTATGCATTCATGTTGATGCGCGCACACACACACACACACACACACACGCACGCACACACACACACACATGCACGGACGCACACACACAGGCGCGTTTGGGAAGCGAGACCACTCACTCGCTCCCTCAGCGATAATAACGATAATCTTATGTCAGCCAGCTGGCAGGATCTTTCAAATGAAAATGAAAATAAAACAGCATAGATGTTTATCAGAATAATTAGTTTGGTTACCCCCACCCAGTTACCCTCTCCACACGCCCAGTTCCCACCTCTTGTCTCGGAGGCCTAGGCCACCTCGCCTGAATCGCTTCAGGAGGACGTTGAGAACAAAAGCCCCGAATTTGGCTGTAGCCAGCATCAAAGGGTAGAGCTGCAGGGCAGGGGGCAACCACATTGGTGGGGGTCAGTCACTGGGCCGGCACTTTGCCTTTCGTTTGATGTCACCTGACACTCCAGCCATGTAGATGAACCCAGATGTAGCTTTAGCGTAGGGTATTACCCACAGGCTTGGAAGTAGGTTAATCTGTCACCACAACTTTTCACCTGTTCACATACCTAAAGTGTAACGAGTTAAGCTTCTTACACGCCTGCTGTGTGAGACTCACACTGCTATGTTCTGTGTTTTTAGCGTGTTAGCTTTGATTCATGTTGTCTAATGCCTATGACTCTGTTGCTGAGTTAGTGGTGTCTAACTTGTCCACCGTCTCACAAATCATGATTAGCAGTCTAATGCCCGTTACCTGTGTTTCGACGCGCCAGGCTAATCGTTTTTACTCGACATGCCGTTGACTCATGAAGCTATGCTTGCAGTTTTTATCTGTTTGGTTGTGACTCAGAGTGCCTGGTCACCCCTTTCCCAAGGAGTCACAGTGACATGTTTTTTTTTACTAGTTATCTGTGACTTATTGTGCCAGGCTAGTGGATTTTTTTGCTGTGACTCACAGCAGTTAGCTCTTGTTACCTGTGACTCACAGCGCCAGACTACTGGTTTGCGCACATTGCCTATGACCCATGATGTCACACTTAAATGGGTTTTCACTGATTTGGTGTATAGTAGGTCACATGACCCTAACCAAACTGCATGCTGGTTTTCTGTGACTCATGGCATTAGACTAGCAGTTTTTATCCCATCGGCTGTGACTCTGCAGGCTAGCTTTTTGACTGTGACTCATGGATTCAGGCTGGTGATTTGCACATTTTGCCTAGGAAATATGGTGCAAGACTTGGGAGATACGTTTGCTGCCTGTGACTCATGACGGCAGGCATTCTTCCCATACTGCTTGATGCTTTCAGTGGTCAGCCATGTTGGTCTCCTTCTCTTGGGTAAATTACACTGATTGGAGGGAATTGGTTTCCTGTCCAACACACCATGGGTGCTCTTACTCAGCACTAGGCACCAGGCGCCGTCTAGGTGTGGATATATTTTGAACACCTACTTTATGCCTCAACATCTATGCAATGTTACAGAAGGTCAACGGTCAAGGAACAAAAGGTCCAGAATGAAGACAAACACTGCAAACACCTCACACAGACTAACGTATTTCCTAAATCTCACAGAGGCTATAATAATGCTTCAAAGAACACATGAGGCAATGCTAAAATATTAATGTAGAGACTATGAATTTGATGGATTCGATCAAGCCTATGTGGATGACAGGGCAAGAGCTCCCTACTCCGTTCATGAGCAAAACACGAGGTACACATGAACATCGGCCACGATCTGGTAAAGAACAGGAAAACAGGAGGATTTTCCTAGGATAGCAGGAGATGTATGAAGGTAATTACCCCAGAAAATGAAGGAGAGAAAATTCCAGCTGGACCACAAGTCTGAAGCGTTTGCATGCATGTATATATCCCATTTTTATTTTTATTCAGATAAGTCTTGTAATGGAAGAACATAAATTAACCCAAAACAAAGAGAATAAACATAGCATTTGAAAGATGTTACGTGGCCTGTGAACACAGATGGCAAGATCGGTACAATGTAAGGCTATACAATGGCCGTGCTGCATGTAAGATGAATTAACGGATCAATAAACAGAGAACGAGAATGCTGTGCCCAAGCCCATTGGGATTTCAGAAACCCCATTTCCATGGCAACCTTTAGCAGGAAGTACAATCTATTGTCTCCTGCTCATCTTCTGTTCTAGACCACTACCACCATAACATGTGCTCCAGACCCCCGGAGTCCCGACTTCTGACTACACTTTGCTGTTTCCTTTAATGGAATCAAGAGCATGAGGGAAGTACCCTACTGGTGGGGCTGAGGCAGGGAAGTACACGGGGGCGGGGCCAAAGAGGCATTAACCCAGCTAAAAGCGAATTAGCCCTCAGAGTGTCACCTGCCTGTCACGCATTCGGAACATATCATTGGCTAATGATAAGGTTGGCCGCTCTGTTATGAATTAAGGCACCTCTTATATCCCCTACCTTAAAAAAATCCTAGGATCATCTCTGGGGTGTGAGGAGGGAGCGAGTAGCTGGTTTGGGGTGCCTGCGAGGAAAACCTCTCCAGGCCAGGTCCAAACTGCAAATGCGAGCGAGAAAAGCAAGAGTTAACAGCGGTGTTGAGTCATGCTATTAATCTCTGAGTGCTGAGAGGAGGAAATCACACATGCTGGGAGTTTATGCTACACGGTAATAAAGACACTGCTTGCCGTTTATATGCGCTGAACACATACTGAACTCCCGGAGGTCTCGTTCTGCTCCAGCTCTCATTATGAATCTATAATTCAATAAAGTGTACAGTGCCAAGCAGGTGGAATGTTAAGGATAAATGAAATGTTTGGAATGCCCAGGAAGCAGGCAGCAACGTCGCGTGATCGAAGATAGACGGATACATTCATGTCGCTAGCAACAGGGCTAATTAAACCCACTGCGATTTGTTTGCAGTTTCTCCACCTTGCCAGTAATATCAGCCCATTTCTACAGTCTAATTGTATAGCTCTCTTGGTGATTAAACCACAGCAAAGGGACCTTTGTAGATCAAGTGGCTCTTTGAAGCCACGGGGAAATCGGGGGTGACAAGATGAAGAATAGTAATGGAGCATTGTGACATCAGGAGCACGGGAACAGGATGAATAAGGCAAGAGAGCCACGAATTCGACGGCCATGAATTATTTGCTTGTGCCTTGGTACCACGGAAGACTTGTGGTTCGGCCCAGAAAGTCCTAAAACAGTCAGGGCTGTATGTACCCTGGAAAAGCCACAGACTGGCCCAAGAGCGACCGAGAGGGATTTTACATTATTCTGTTATGTACAGTGCTGCCTGTTATCTAACGGATCTCTATATGTTTCCATAATAATACAGGTCTGGCTCCAGCAAAACTGTTTATGCCGAAAGAGAATTACATGGCGTGAAAGGCAATGCGTTCTTCATTGCGCCTGTAGCAGGATTATTTCGCAGTTTGTTCCATCTCTTTCATTTTTCCAAAGGCTGACGTCTTGCTTCTAATAGAGGAATTCAAGCTGTGTCTGAGATTTTGCAGCTGTACAAATGAATGAGAGGGCAAGCCATGGAGGTCGTTTTGATGACATGATGTGCATTTATTAGATAAATAGCGTAATGAGCGATTGTAGAATGGGAGAAACAAAGGGGCGTAGCGGCTGAAGCTTAGAGTCATATTGCTCATCGTGAAGTGCTCTGTGTGTGTGGCAAGCTCACGTGCCTCGGGTTAGGAGGCAAATCACACTAAGCTAAGAAGAGATTATTAATCGGTTTTGGATGTGATGTAGGAACAGATAAATAACGACAACTGAAATCCATGCGAAAACCACGCGCTGCGTTAGCACGGCAGTGGACCCTCGCATATTTAATATGCCCTTGAGCTGTCTGCAATTAAAAAAAGCAGGAGTCACTGGACAAAGAGGGGTGCAGAGGAAGTACTAACAGGAGTGTTTTGGAACATCCCTGCTCACCCCAGCAGCAGTAAGCTGAGCCTCTGTCTCCGGGCCCCAGAGGCTGCAGAAGGTCAGGGATGAGTAACGCTGACCGCTAATGTTTGGCACAGAATGGTAGATCTGCTGTTTTTAAGGTCAGAAGAGACAGGGAAAGTGTTACTTAGTGCCACTTAAACCCGCCATGAATCTGTTAGCTTCTCTACTAGCTTGCAGATGAAAAACCTGTGAGAGTTTTATGAAGCTAACACACAATTCGCACCTTTCTATACAAGGAACGAAACTAAACTCAAGGTAGAGATTTAGGCCAGACCTTATGATTTGGGAATTTCAGAGTGCCACATGAAGTTTGTCCCTAAAAATGGCGTTAGAATGGTTAAAAAATAAATTGTTCTGTAAGAAGGCGGAAGGGAAGTCATTTGAAGAGTAGAAGGCAAAGTACAATACCACAATAACCTGGGGAAATTTGAGCAGAGTGTTGATCTGTATCTCAGGTACGTAAGCCATGTACAGTCAGGGGCAGCTGATTTGACATTGAAGAGCCCCTTCGCTGTTACTCACCGAATTCAAAACATATCATTGGCTAATGATAAGGTTGAGCTCCTCGGTATGAATTATGACCTCTCTTATGCTCCCCACCTGCAGTCTAATCCTGCAGTAAGGACCTAAAGGCGCAGTGCTCCATCTCTTGCAGGCCCGGCTCCTCCCAGCCCCCGGGGATTTTGCAGGACCATGATGCTCAGCAGCTCAGTGGATGTGCCCGGTCCGGGGGGCATGGCAGCGGCGGTGGAGGCGGCGGGACGCAATGTCATACGCAGCTCCAGCATCAGCGGCGCCATGTACAGCCTGGAGAAGAGCCCCAGCGGGGGTAGTCCCGAGGCCCCCGGCTTGGGGGGCAACAAGAAGCGACGCTCCAGCCTAGGCGCCAAGATGGTGGCCATCGTGGGACTGTCACAGTGGAGCAAGAGCTCGCTGCAGCTCAACCAGCAAGGTGGGAGAAGCCGACGGCCGTCCTGGCCACTCAGTGTGGCTGATTTTAGCGCGAGATAACAGCTAACATCAATTTGCAATATAAGTCTGTTTGTATATACATCATATACCATAGAGCAGGAAGAACAATTTCCTTTCTCCATTTAGGAGGTGCATACAGACCAGCAAGCCCTCTTGCTATATCAGATTTCACGTTCTATTTCACCGATGAGTGTTTCTCGTCACAAAAAAATGACTCGCGCTGGCACTCAGGGGAAGAGAACAGAGGTGGAGCCTGACTTTTTGAGGCACTGGGCTTAGCTCACGTTAGCAAACATTAGCATTAGCAAAGCTAGCACCACCAGGGACGTTAGCGTAGCTTGCATGCGCGCACGTCTTTGCTGTCTCCTCCCGCCATCCGCCGAGCTGGAGTGTGCCGTCGTTCAGCGCAGTCCGGGCCACTAGCGCTGTGGCGTGGTGATGGTGTCGGCCTTCTGTTGGATAGCGGTCACCTGAGAGCTGAGGTGGCCGGGTGTACGAGGTGGCCAGCGCGAGCTTCAGGGCCATCTGTGCGTATGTGGGGGGTGGGGGGGCACTATTTCCTGGACTCAGGAATTACCAGACCTTATGGTGATTTGACTGGTTAGCGTGGGGAGACGTCGCTGCTGCTTAACAGTCTCTAAAATCGAAACACTCGACAAGAATATTCGATAAACGCTTAGCTACGTTCCCTCCCTCATTTGCCTCCTTTGCTCACCCAGTCCTTCCATCCCTCCCCAATCTCTCACCAGATCTTTTGAGCTGTAAGCTCCTTACACTCTTCTCCTCTGTCATATTTCATTCTTTTCCGCTTTAATCTGTCTGCATGATATGAGCGTCGGCATCTCCTGCATGATGATGTGGAGGGAGGGCTGCTGCAGCTCAGCAGCTTTTCCTCTGACTCTCCAGGGAGTTTGCCTGCGTTTGCAGTTAGGCGCTTGGTCATGTGAAGGTGTAATATGGAGTCGACCAGCTTTTATTGTTTAGTAAGACTTTTCCTCAGGTCCTGCTCTAGCAACAGGCAATGCAGGCAGTTGCCCAGCACCTCCAAATTACCTGTGTTATGGATGAAGTGAAATTATCGGTCATTTTCTTGGTAGGGGGGCCTCCCAAGTAAAGACATGCCTATGGCCACTGAAGAGGTAGAGGTGGCCCTGCTCTTTCGCACGAGAACTTGTGAACCACCATAAACAGAAGGAGGTCATACATTGAAAATGGCCTTTAGGAATCAGATGATCGTTTCCTCCGTCCTCCATTGTTCTCCTTGTCTTCTTCAGTCTCTCGTCCTCGCGTTCCGCAGCGGCCATCTAAGGGCTCTGGCGCGGCCGTCAATCGTTGCGACTCCGGCACCGTGTCACTCGGGGAGAAAGGTGAAAGGGAAGGAGGCATTAGTGTAACTTTGAGCTGTGTACTTTCACGGCTGACAGCAGTTTAAAGATCTCTGGCTCCTGCACGGCCATTATATGCTCGGTGTCCTGATGCTGGAACGTGTTTTGCAGAGAGGTGCGATTTCTCAGTTAGCATAACCGGGCCGGCTGGCATGACTCCAGCAAACATGTCAGGGTGACCTGCGGCATCCCGATGGAGGAGGCTTTCTGACAACAAAACGAATCAAAGTTAAAATGTAAACCATGCTTAGCTCCCCCCCCGCCACATCACCTGCTCACGGACGCTGTAAGCAGAGCTACAGGAGCTCACTCCATCATCTCATCTGTCAGGTCCACTCATCTTTTTCTTTTCCTACAGCCAGCCTGACCTTTTCGCAGTGCTTTATGACCACAGGCGAGCCTGGAGGATGCTGGGAGAGCAGATTTTTTTTTCGGTGGCGGTGGTGGCTTGAGACAGGCATACTATCCCAAGCCTGTGGCCAGTGGGTCATTTTTATACTGCGCAACACTTCAAAGGAGAGACTGAGATTTTTCTTATTCCTCCCCAGGAGTCATCAAGGCCACGTCAAGCCAATCATATTGTTTAGTTGCCCATCTGGCAGACTAATGCCTGTATTACCATGCTGTGTCATTTGTTGTGGATTCAGGATAAGAGACATTGAGGGCTGAGCCCAGAGACCTGGGGTCTTTTTCAGTGTGTGTACTTGGCTATATTTCTGCTCTTGTGTACCCATTGGCGATACTAAGAACAGAAGTATAGAGGATGGTAAAAATCTCTGAATGTCGTTCTTGCCCCAACCCAAATATCAAGGATGCAGCAGTTGCATCCTGACCAATCCTATGGTTCATTGTGCCCCAAGTTCTTTCTTAGAAGGCAAGTTAGCAAGACTGGTCTAGCCAAGACCACAAGTATGATCTTTGCATTCTTGGTATTCAGAAACACCCCTGATCTCTCAGATGATCACCATATTGAATTGTCCCTCTCTGATGCGATGATAGTAGCACTATGATGGTTTTTGGGAATGCAGTTTTGGTCCAGGACTCTTTGATGTACAGATTCTCAAACTGAGAGTGTGGCTGTAAAAATATCTGAGTTAAACTAATCACCTGGGACTTGTTCAGATTCATCCAGGGCTTCAGACTGGTGATGCGTCTGGAAAGGACCTTCTGGCAGATATCTCAAGGCGCAATGAGTCCCTATCAAACCGGAAAATACCGTCCCGCTCACTTAGGATGTACTTTGACCCTTAAATGCAGCCAAGCTAATCGGCCTATTCCAAATCCCCCGTTGAGTTAGATCTCAGCCACAGGGAGGTAGAGCTGAATGGGTGGTGAGAAACGAGAGCAGGAGAGAGGGATGGAGCGAGGAGCAGTATAGACGATGACCTCACTGGTGCCCTTGCCAGTGGTGACATCATGGCCAGATGGAGTCGTGTTGCCGTTTGCTACAGTTGGACTAGGAGCTGTCCCCAGCTGGCAAGGCTCCCTGGCAAATGCCCCCCCCCCCCATGACCCTACTACACCCTCTCTGGCCTCCTAAACTCAGCCGCATCCCATGCCCTGCCACCTCACCGGCGGGCCCTCTCTCTCAACCGACATCCTTGTCCACATTTTCACTCCTATTCTTTATTTTCTCCGCGGGGGCGTCGGCACCAGCGAGGCGCTAATCGGGCGAGAGCGGCGACTAAATTTAGACATTGGGCTCTGATGGCAGGGTCAGGGTGGCCAGGGGAAGCAGCATCCATCACCTGGGGGGGGGGGGGTGTTTCAGCTCAGTTACATCCACAACAGAGTTCCTGATTCACACGCGTTCTATCTCATCTCTACAAAGAGTATCAATTAAAGCATTATTCATATTGATAGTGTGTGATTCACACTACGGACGTCCCATTAATTGGTAGCTGGGGGTGGGGGCTCTGGTTATCACTGGAACCTGGGCCATGGAAGTTCCCCCCTTGGCTGTGACATGACTTTCCGTCATCTGAAATGTGGAATAGGGGACTATGAGGGAGGTGTGTGACTCCGCAGGTCAGGGTGCCACAAGGTCATTTTCCACAGGTAATGTTTTCCCTCGTGGGCTTCCTATAGGCCGTCTGTCTCCCTCAGTCCAAAGCGTCCCATATATTTGACTCTGAACTCCCTATATATGGATGTGTGTACATCCTTGTGTTTTAGGCTATTGACAGGGGTGCTGAAAAGGACGGGACGATTACAAGGGCCTTCAGTGACACGGGCCCTAAAAAATTTGGGACATTGGATTGGTCTGGTTTGGCACCCGAAATGCTTTCATCCAGCCCAAAATCACCAGCAGCGCCCCTGACTGTGGATCAGAAGATATAACATCACTCAGTCACTTAAATAGGTTAATAGGAAATAAATTATCCAAAAACATTTCATCATGATAAGTGACATAAAGCTGTTGACTTGGCCAGTTTTCTTCCAGTTAAGTGGAGAATGTCAGCAGGGGAAGCCGCCCCACCACCGAGTCTCGCAGATAGAGGAGTATAAAGCCCACTTGAGCTTCTGCTCTTGGCCCACTTGGCTGGCTTTTCCCTGGGGGACTGCGTCAGCATACTGGGAGCTGTGGGAGATCCTCCCAGCAGCCTCACCGCTCACGTGCCTCCAGCCCATCACTCTGCTTCACCCGAGTCCAGTCTTGCAAGCTCAGCAACAGTAGCCTATCAGGTGCAAGTAACTAGAGGCTGGACCAACCAATCAGATGTCTTGGTCCTGCCTTTTCTAATTGCTTGGTCCCACCTCCTCTAAAATCTGATTGATTATCTCTCTAGTTTTACCTTCTGCCCTCAGAACATTTTTGAGTAGGTAAAACTCCCATGAGTGCCCATTAGGCTCACAGTGTGAATGTTATTAGGCATCTGATCATCGACAATATCCCGACGATCTAGTTACAGGCAGAATAACGAGTTGCCATGGGCCCCTGAATTACCTGCACTGCAGAGGAAGTGAAATGATTGTCAATTTTCATGGCAGGAGGGTCTCCCAAATAAAGATTTGCCTAGGAAAGTTAGAGCCATCCCTGCCAGCGAGTTATGGGTCTCCAACATATTAAGCCCTTTGACTGGGTATATGATTAGAGCACCATCATTTTCTACATCGTGGACTATGCAACTATGCTTGCTCTGTCCTTTTAATAAGAACAGATTACCCCAGCAGCCACAACTGCAAACTATTTATCTTTTTTTTTAGTTATTTTTCAGATGAGTTTGAGTTGCTTTTATTCTGACTGGCATATAATGAAACATTTATTGTGGTTATAAAAATACAATCTCTTAGGATGGAATCAGCTTTAACATAAAAAGTGCAGCTTTCGAATGTACGGGAGGAGGTACTGAATAAAAATCATTCAAATAAGAACATAAGAAATTTACAAATGAGAGGAGGCCATTCGGTCCATCAAGCTTGTTTGGGGGCCCATCAGGCTCTGCCCAAGTCATCCACAAAAAAGAAACATTTTTAGATTTGGAAATTTTTTTGTATGTATACAATCTAGTCGGCCCCTCCATCATCCTAGGGGCTATGTTGCTCCAGGTAGGGTCTCCCCAGGCAAATTGGTCTTAGGTGAGCAGCAAGACTA